CTCGAGCTGCCTGAGCACATGGCTCGCCCAGACCTGGATGTAGTCGAAACGTGCGCGGCGCTCAACCAGCTCGAACTCACGATCCGACTCACTTCCGAAGAGGGACGAATCGACAAGGGGCGCAAGGCGCATGGACGCGTCCCGGGATGTGCTAGGGGCGCACCGGTGTCAAGGGAAGTGGCAGGGGACGTCGAAGGGGGCCTGGATGAGGATGGCGATGATTGAGGAGGAGGGAGGAGAAGGAGGTAGGAGGAGCATGCCATGGACGCGGCAGGGACCTGCCACGGGGCCTACCAGGGAGGAACGCCAAATGTCAGGGGACGTCCCCAAGGGATGCGCCAGAGGGACGTGGCAGGAGACGCGCCACATGGAACGGGCCGAGGCAGCGACAGAGGAGGAGCCATGGGAACGCGCCATGGGACGAGACAGGGAGCGTGCCACGGGACGCACCAGTGAATGTACTCCTCATCCTCCTCCTCCTCCTCCACCTCCTCCTTCTCCTCCTCCTCCTCGTCCTACTCCTACTTCTCCTCCTTCTCCTCCTGCTCCTCCTGCTCCTGGTCCTCCTCCTCCTCCTCGTACTCCTCCTCCTCCTCCTCCTCCTCCGAGGGTGCGCGGCAGTGGACGCGCCAGGGGGCGTGCAGAGGGAAGCGCCGGGGGGCACGCCGAGGAGCGTGCCAAGAGGACATGCCGTGGGATGCGCAACGCGGAACGTGTCAGGGGACGAGACGTGGACATGCCAGGGGATGCACAAGTCAAAGAATGTGCCAGAGGACGCGCCAGGGGACGTGCCACGGAACGTACCGAAGAACGGCTCACCTTGCTATGTAAGCCTTCTCCGCTGGACCCGTGCTCCCCACAGCAGGCTCCCAAGCAAGTTGTATTGGGTACGCGCTCCAAGAGCAGCGACCCCGTCTAAAAAACACTGGGTCGCGCTCCCAACGCAAAGAACTCCCGTGCATCCCACCAACCCTCTGGGCGTGTGTGGCCTCACGGGTTCTTCCTGTACCCGTCCGAGGCGTTCTTCCCTGTGGGAAGGCTGCTTTGGTGAGCTCGCGAGCGGTCAGGGTGCCCAAGATGGACCAAGATGGCTCCAAGAGGGCCCCAGCTGCTTCAAGATGACACCTCAGATGGCTCACGATAGCAGAAGATTCAATATGCCCAAGCGGCCCCCAAGACGACCTCAAGACCGCCCAAGAATGCCCCAAGAGGGCCCTACGAGCCGATCTTGCTTACCCCAGAAGAGAGAAGGAATTCGGGTACCCCTAACATGGCCCCAAGAGGCCCTCCGAGGCTTCCAAGAGGGCCCCCTCCAGTAGATTCCCAAGATGGCCGCGAGAGAGCCCCCAAAAGGACACCAAGGGGTCTTCCAGAAGACCCTCAAGTGGCCGCCAAAATCTTCGTCGTCGCCCGCCTTCTTCTCCTGCTCGTCTCCGCCATTTTCCTCCTCGCCATTCTCCTCCTCCTCCTCCTCCTCCTCCTCCTTCTCCTCCTCCTCCTTCTCCTCCGCGTCCTCCTTCTCGTCTCCGTTCTCCGTTCTCCGTTCTCCTCCTCCTCCTCCTCTTCCTCCTCCTCGTCCTTCTCCTCGTTCTAGTCCTCGTCCTGGGCCCGATCAGGCTGATCCAAAACTTGTCCCACTGCATGCTCCAGAGCAGCTCGCCTGTTCTGGATGGACTGGTGGGGGTACGCGAATCGGCGGCGAGCGAGGGGAAGTAAGATGGAGAAAGCCTTCTCAGAAGGCTCCGAAGTCCCCGGGCCTTCTGAAGAGCTTTCTAAGCCTTCCCCGAAGACAAAACAAACTCCTCAGAAGGCGAGAGGGCCTCTGAGAAGTCCCGCCGCCTTCTGAGAATGTCTTCTCCTTCTCTTCCCCCCCCCCCTCGCTCGCCGCCGAGCGAAGTGTCAAGACTTGCATCGGATTCGTGCTCCCAGGGGAAGCTAAGATCCCTTGAGAGCGACGCCGAGACCGCACTCCGAGGGCAACGGCCCCTTCTAATCGACTCTGCGTGCGCGCTCCAGGGGCCCCGGTCCTGCGCGAATCACGCTGCGTCCGCGCTCCCGAGGCCACTGCCTCGTACATTGCACTGCGTCCGCGCTCCGAAGGCCACGACCCCTTGCCATTTACGCTGCGCCCGCGCTACACGGGCAACGAACCCTCGTAGCTTACGGTACGTCCGTGCCCCACGCACAACGATCCCTCGTACATTACGCTGCGTGTACACGTCGTTCGATTCATATCGCGCTCATTTCTAATTGTGCTCGTTTCTAATTGTTCCTGGCCCCCTAGTGGCCAGGAAGACGTCCAGGATAGAAAAAAAAGAAGTGAAAGGATCTTGGCCTCCCCAAAAACCAAAGAACCCTCGAAAAATTAGGAATGAACAGAGTGTGCGCTCCCAGGGCCACGATACCTCTTTTGACTTGCTGTGTGGTCGCGGCACCAGGACCACGACCCCCGGTCAAGTATATTATTCGTGTGCGCCCTCAGGGCTCACGACCCTTGTGAAGTACCCTGCGCTGGCGCTACCAAGGCCACGACCCCTGGTGAATTAGATGCGTGGGCTCTCCTAGGTCTGCGAGCCCATGTGAATGACCTTGCGCCCGCGCTCCGCGCTCCCAAGGCCAAGAGCCCATGCACATCCCCTGGCCCCGGGCTCCCACGGCCACGATCCCTCGCAAAGCACCGTGCGGGTGCGCTCCCAGGGCCACGATCCCTTGTAAATTACCCTGCGTTCGCGTTGCCAGGGCCACGACCACTTGCGAATTACACTGCGACCTCGCTCCAGGGGCCACGAGGCCACGGTTGCAAAGGCCACGATCCCTTCCTCCGTTGTCCAAGGATCCAGGGGCGCCCCAGAGCTCCCTGGGCCTTCTGAGCCTCCACGGTCTTCTCTTTGCAGAGGATTTTGAGCGCGGGGCGCGCCATGCCCGCACGGGCACGCACGACACGTTGTTTGTTTTAGATGCTCCATAGGATGTGCTGCTCGTTTCAACGCCCCTGACGCTCGTTTCCGTCGCAGCGCGGCACGAGCAAACCGCACGCGCGCTCAGGGCAAGCCGGGTGCCGGCTTGCGAACTGTCCGGGTGCAGGAGCAGGGAGGGGGGAGGAGAACAGGAGAGGCCGCGGGCAGAGGGGAAGGAACGAATGCGCTCACGCAGCGCGGGCCGCAGCGGGGCGCCCGAACGGACAGCTGCACACAAACAATCGGGCGTTGACCTAAGGACCCCTTTCTCCCATAAGTTAAATTCGATGTCCCATGGAAAACCTCGGGAACACCGAAGGCAAACTGCAGAACAATCAAGGAACACCGAGCCCCTCCCCAACGAAAAGGGTTCCTTCTTCAGGGCCCCGACTGTACGCACAGACTTCCACGGGTCCGCGCTGTCCCTTTTCGGGCTGGCGCCGGACGCCCCCGGCGGCCTGGTGCCGCCCACGGGGCGCGCTCCGCGCGCCGGGGATGGGGGAGGTCCGGCGCCGGCCCGAACGACCAGTGCGCCCAGAGGTTTGGCTGTTGTTGTTCGGTGTTTGGTGTTTGCTGTGGGTTGCTTGTTGTTTGTTGCTCTCATGTTTGAAAGCAATTATTGCTGATCCCCCCTATCACTGGTGCACGGTGTGTTTTTTCGATCGGGGTGCTCCTCCGGGGGCTCGCACTCTGCCTTGCCAAAGGACGGTGCACGTTGCAGGTAAGAGAGAGAACCCCCCAAAAGGGGGCACGATCGAAGACGAAGAGGGCGAGTATTGAGGGTTTGAAATACACGTGCAGAGTGCCACGCGAGCCGATAAGAGCGAACAGTTTTCAACTGAGTGTTGTTGCTGCTGCTTCTGTTGTTGCTGTTGAGTTCTCACACCCAAAGAAAAAGTATTGTTGATCCCCCTGCCCCGTAACCATCATATGGTTCAATTAAAATGCTTTCCCCAGCTCCTCGCCACCCTCCTGCCATTTTCTTACGTGCTCCATCCTCCTCCCTCCCCCTTGTCCCTTCCTTCCATCCTTGCTCTCCTCCTCTGCCTTAGGGGCTGCACAGCATGCACGTTGCAGGTACATCGACCCCAAAAGGGGGTACGATCGAAGACGACGAGGGCGGGTATCGAGGGTTCGATATATCCATGGGGAATGGCACGCGAGCAGGTAAGAGCGAACGGTCTTAAAGTCATTCTTGTTGTTGATGCTGTTGTTGTCGCTGTTGTTGAGTTCTCATTCCCAGAAAGTAAATATTGCTGATCCCCCCTGCCCCGTAACCATCAGATGGTTCAATTAAAATGCTTCTCCCGGGGCTCGCACCCTTGTTCTCCAAGGGGAAACTGAGGTGTCATCAATGTGCGCCCCTGGCGCCAAGTTTAAAACAGCAGCGGTTCCAGCTTGATGACTCCTCTCAACTGAAACCAACATCGCGCTCTCGCACGGACTTCGTCACAATGCATTATGAAAACGTGCTCTCGCGCTGGACATCCTCGCATTTTTTCAGACGCCGCGCTCTCGACAATCAGGAATCTCGTTCTCGCTGTGGATTCCTGACGATTTACTTGGGAATCGCGCTATCGCTCAAGATTTTCAAACGATTCATACAGGACGCACGCTTCAGCAGCCCGCCTGCTCGACCAGGGCGCCTGGGACCGCCTTCCCGACCCGCCCGTCAGGGTCTACACGCCCGATCTGCCCGTCTGGGTCTGCCACGCGTTTCTGCTCCTAGCCCCCCTCCTGCTCCTCCCTCTCGTGCTCTATCCTCCTCCCTCCCTCTTGTCCCTTCCTTCCTTCTGTCCTATCTTTCCCTGCCGCAGGAGCTGCACAACATACATGCGCAGGTAAGAAAAGTATACCCCAAAGGGGATGCGATGGAAGACGAAGAGAACGGGTATCGAGGGTTTTGGATAACCGTGTTGAGTGGCTCGCGAGCAGGTAAGAACGAACCGTCTTAAAACAAGTGTTGTTGTTAATGGTGTTGTGTCATTGTTGCTGTTGTTGGATTTATTGTGCCGTGCTCGTGTCGTTTCCCGCTCCTCGATCCTTGCCGTCGCCTCTGCCACCGACGACCCAGATGATCTCAGGCCCCGCCACGGCCGTGGCCGAGTGGCACGAGCGCGCCGGGGGGGCCTGGTTGGCAAGAAGCAGAGGGGTCCTGAGGGAAACGGGTTCTGGACCCTGGGCCCTGGCCTTCTGTTGCATCTTCGGGGGACTTCGGCTGTCCCATCGCGCCAACCATCCGTGTCGCACCCATGTCGGATGAATGTCGAACGCGTCGAGTCCGTGTCGAATCTGCTTCGGATTCACGTCGAATATGCGTCGAACCTACGTCGGGAGACAAGAAGAGGCTCCCATCTACAGGACAGGAAAGGTCCCCCGACGATGCAAAAGGGAATGGTCCTGGACCCCGGGACCCGACCCCCTAGGACGGGCTCCTCATCCCGAGGCGGGCCCGCGGAGCGGGACTCGAGAGGCCTGGCACGCCGAACAACACCTGGACCCGCTTCTCTCGGGACCCGTTTCGCTCCATGGCTATATGTATGTACGTATGATATGTATGATATGTATGTATGTATGCATGCATGCATGCATGCATGCATGTCTGTCTGTCTGTCTGTCTGTCTGTCTGTTTGTCTGTCTGTCTGTCTGTCTGTCTGTCTGTCTGTCTGTCTGTCTGTCTGTCTGTCTGTATGTCTGTCTGTCTGTATGTATGCGTGTGTATGTATGTATGTCTGTATCATGTATATGTTTGCATATATATGTGTGTCGCCAACAGAAGACGAATTCAAAGCGCATCAAAAGGATGAGCGGTGATGATGCCAGGGCCTTGGAAGGCCATGTTGACACTTTTCGCACGGGGCTGGCCAGCGAAAGCCGCAAAAGAAGGGCCAAAGTGGCCAGGCTGCACGGGTAGCCGTGGAACATTTCTCATCCTTGCTATGCGATTTGAATGTGCCCAATCCGAGGGATCAGCTTCTCCAGCTTCGGGAAACAACTCCCTGCCCCACACGAGAATATCGGCAGGGCCCCTGGACATCCCGCCAAATTCCATCCAGGATCCAGGACCTGGAGAGGCAGACCCCCTCGGGTCGGGTAGGTCGGACCGCGGACAAACGCGCATCCCTCAAGAGCACGAGACCCTCCGCCGGCAACACTAGAGAACAGCCGAGGGTGCCTCCCCCCAGGATGCCCATGAACATCCAACAACCCCGAAGAACATCTGGGCACCCTCACCGAACCGACCTCCACCTTCTGCCCCAGTCCGACCGCACCCTGACGCGGCTCGGAGGAGGGGCCTCGCCCGTCACCAGCTCCGGGTCGAGCGCCCAACGCTCGGCCTCGAGGTCGAACAGCAGCACGCGGCCCGAGGGCCCGTCCATCCCCACCCCCCCGAACACCAGCACGTAGCCCCGCGGGAAGTGGCGGGCCCGGCGGCCCGGGCCCGCGGGGACGAAGGAGGCCGAGTGGCCCGTCAGTTCCAGGGGCGCGACGCCCGCGCTCTGCACCTCGGCGGCCCCGCCGGCGACGGCGAGCACGAGCCACGCGCCCGTCGGGCGGGCCCTCGCCCCGAGGTGCCGGCAGCCGCCGAACACGAGGAAGCGGTCCCCGCCGACGGCAGGAGCAGGAACGGACGGCATGAGCAACAAAACTTCTGGAAGTCCGCCCGGAGTTCTCGGGTCGGCGCTGGGCCCCCCTCTCCCCGGCGCGCGGGAGCGCGCCCAAGGGGGCGGCGCAGGAGGCGCCGCCCCGGAGGGCCCATCGCGGACCCGAGGAAGGCCGCGCGGACCTCTGGAAGTTTGTGCTTGTGCCGGTCTCCCTGCCCCGAGCTGGGCGTCAGCGTCTGCCCGTATCTCCCAGGCTCTCCGACGAACTCCTCGTGGAGGGGCACCTCCAGGCCTCTCCGGGGGCTCAGAGGCACCGGGGCCCAGACCACCGCCTGGAGCTCCAGCAGCTGATCCAGCGGGGGGCTCGCCCACATCATCTCGCCGCGGGCCCCCTGACGATCGTCCCAGCCGCCGAAGACCAGCAGCGAGGAGTTCCACAGCACCAGCGAGCCGCCCGTGGCGGTCACGGGGCCCCCCGAGGGCTCGTGGAACGCGCCCCACCACGTGCCCCGCCAGCTGGCCTCCCCCGCCGCGGTGAGGGGCGCGCGCTCGTTGGGCTCCGACCCGCCCCAGACCGGCGTGGCGCTCTCCAGGGGCCGCGGGGGGCCGTGGTGCAGGACCACGGCCACCGCCGCGGCCAGCACGGCGCCGGCCAGGGCGGGCCACCAGTCCGCGGAGGCCAGGCCCCGCAGCAGCAGCGGCAGCGCCCGGCGCAGCGTGGCGCGGCGCGCCCGGGGGTCGATGGCGGCGTGGCAGACCGAGCACCGCCACAGCGACCACAGCTTGCCCGCCGAGGCGCTGGATGCCTGCCACTCGGCGAGGCAGCGGGCGTGGACGTGCCCCTGGGTGCCGCGGCAGGCGCAGATGCCCGACAGGAGCTCGTCCTCGTCGGCGCCGCTGAGGCAGATGCGGCACTCCGAGGAGGCGTCACCCATCGCCCATGGGGCCGAGGTCCAGGGCGCAACGGGGGGGGCGGGGCACGCCTCGAGCCCAGATCGCTCCGCGGGGCCACGCCCTCTGGCAGATGTGCGCCTCGGAAAAGTGAGCCTGGGTGGCCCCTGTGGGGGGGCACTCCCGGGGGGGGGGGCTATCGAGGGCGCGTTGGGAGTGTTGGGGTCTATCTTGGAGGGCGGAGGGGCGTGCTCGGTCCTCCAGGAAGGCACAGCAGGTCAAGTACCGTAGACGCCGTGGGGCACTGCAGCTAGCGCATGCGAGGCTGCCCGCGTAGGCCGCGCCGGATGAGCTATGTCTGTGGCGTAGCGGGCGGGGGGGGGGGGCAGCGGTCGTCAACTTGAGTATTTTGTCTTAGCGTGACCTCAGTAGGCAACAGCCTCAAGATGCTTCAAGATGGTCCCAAGCTGGAGCAAGACGCCTCCAGGCCATTCCGATGGACCTCCAAGGAATCCTGGGGACATACCCCCATGGGAGACAAGCCCCCCATCTGGACATGCAGCATGACAAACTTACGCATTTCACCCGTGTCGACCTTCTCGTCTGTTCGTGCTCCAGTGGGCCTCTTGTGCCAAGAGGTGGTTCCAACGGGAAGCCAACTTGCCCCAAGGGAGTCTCACGAGCCCACAAGAGGGCCCAAGTGGCACCATGAAGGCTGAGCAGGCCCCACGGTGGGTCCGAATGTGTCCCTCGCGCATTCCCTTGATGACGATGGGCGAACAAGACATGCTGATGCTGCCGGGAGGCCTTCGATATGCTCCCATGAACGGAAGATCACGAGAACCCCACGCAGAGTCTACTATGAGGCGCCCAGGAGGCCCACATTCTCCTAGCGCCAGCCTCACAGAACAATGGGGGAACGTTCAGGTGGAGAATAACTCCCGCCATCCACCTGGTGGTCATATCTCCCAACACGGACTTTACAAGACCGTGGTGTTGGGGGCGGGGGAACATTACGGCAATCTAGTTCACTGAGATCACCGCTGGGGTTGCTAAGGGGATAGGAGGCTTACAAGTGGATGCTAACGTGGAATACTTCAGGCCCGAACTAGGTTAAAAACGAATTACAAAGGCTCCAAAACAAATGAGGTATGTTGATACCTCCGCGAAGTGTGCTCCGCTCATTTAGACCAGATCCGCACCATTTCTAGACCACTTTGGGCATCCTCATCCCACTTATTAGCTAGATTCGCAACCTTACCATCTACTGCTAACCCCCCATCCCCGTAGCACCCCTCGTGGGCTACTCAAGAGCGGCCAACAGATCCCACAGCAATACGGTACATGACAAATTCAGTCAATGCCACGAAAGACGCTACGATCAGGACTGCTTGCTTATAGCGTGTCAGATGACATAACGACCTTACGCCGCGGCTTACGCGGGCCGCCAGCGCGGGAAACTCCAGTGGAAACGAGGGCGCTTACGCATGACCTTACTCGGGCAGCTTACGCGCCAATGTCGGTGAAAACGACCCCGTTTGTCTTGCGTCGCTCACCTGCTTGATGATGATGACGCTGGTTAGCGTGTCGCGCCGGGGCATGATGGGCTAGAACTGGCGGCGCGACACGCCAAGCAAGCGCTCCTGCCCTTTTTAAGACATGCCTCCAGATCCCAAGAGCAACCAGGCAAGTGCAATCCAACGTCTCGAAATGGGCCAATCGTCAAAGTGCATGGAAAAGTTGATCGCAAGGCGGGAAATCGCCCATGCGCCACCGCCCGGACGTCCTGGGACCCCAGGGGGCAGAAGATACGGGCATACATGGTCCAGGGCTTGGCCCCCCCCCACCCCCCCCAATGCTGATGCCATTGGGGCCCCCCCCCCGCGCGATGGTCCCCCCCGCCCCCACCTGTGGGCGTGGCGTGGTGCTGTGCTGCGGTGCCCCCCTCCTCCCCCCCCCTGTGGATGTGGTGTGGTGCTGTGGTGGTTCAGAGAATCAGAGAATGGAGGTGTATGATCCCGGAGCCCGGGATCATACATGCCCATAGGTGTCCACCGCCTGCTCGGGCCCCCGAAGATCGATCCTCCAGGTCTGGGCGGTCCCTGTGGAGAGATCCCCGCCTCGGGCGCTGAGATCAAAGGTCACGAAAAAACATGCAACATCGTGAACAGCAACTGACTGGAGCCCTGGACCCAATGCTTCTGCTGCACACTTCGAGCCGGATCGATCCGCGAGGGTCCGGGGGCGGGGCACAGGGCAGACCTGGCCGTTGTGAGCAACATTGCGACGCCAGGATCTCTGGGGAACTGACCTGGCCCTTCTTTGGGGGGGCATCCAAGGGTGAAGGGGCCCAGGCACACACAACTCAATAGGCACAAATCCCAACATTCCCTATGTCTTTCCATGTTTTCAGGGGTGTCGTCTTCCCCCCCCCCACTTCCCATGTGTTTCCATATGTTCCTGGGAATCGACGATGATAGGTGTGTGTGTGTGCGTGTGCGTGTGTGCGTGTGTGCGTGCGTGTGTGCGCGTGTGTGTGTGTGTGTG